TTTGGCCAGAGAGTTTAGAGAGTGCTTTGTTGTTAGTTATGGGTTTTCTTTGTCGTTCAACCGGAATTTTGGGTATAGAATAGTGGCATGTGCTGAGGTATGCAGCTTTCACCTGGGACAAGTTTGCAATCCTTTATGTTCTTTAGGTTATTGTAACGCACTGCCCACTAGTCAGTTTATGTTAGACAGCCTCCATTTGAATACGTAATCAGGTGTTCATGTTTTTTGATGTAGTAAGTGTTGACTAATGTTAGGCTGTACGCTGTGGCGAACTCTAGAATGCGTTCGCCTTCTTCATTGCATGTGCCGTATTCGTAGCTCCCGTGACACTTCCTCGCACCATTTCTTTTTTCCCCCCACATGACCGTTTAGGTCTGTTCCGATCAGACATATCTCATTCTGTATTGATGTCATGTAATCGTCAAGCTCCTGCCAGAACATATTCTTTCTTTCTCCTTGCATCCGGTTTGCGGAGCATAGGCGGTGACAATTCGGAAGATTTTTCTACCAATGTCAATCTTATGCTCATAATCGATCATTTGGTCGGTCAACTGCGGCAATCCTGCTTCTTAGGCTTTCTGAGACAGTTATACCTTCGCTATTGCGACTACTGCTTATGGTTCTATATAGATGATTTGAAAACCTTTATATACCGAAACAGAAGTTGTTTGCAGAATAGTCGATATACAACGAATTATTATATAATTTTGTTTAAAGTTTTGAAGATCCTGTATATTACGGAAAGAAATATACATGAAATCAATCGATGTTTGAGCTGGTAAAAGCCAAGTCACCTTAGGCCCTGGAATTAATTATGCGAAGTTTGTCTTGCCGGAAAACAGTCAAATGTTTAAATTAGAACACATTTTTAGCCGGGAAATCTGGCTACTCGGCATCGGTTATAGAGCGACAATTTGAAAATGTTTGTTATAAATACTTTAGTTGCGACGCTTAAATCATGTTAGAGGGCACTCATTTCTATGTTTCAAAAAAATACGCAAAGCAGTGGAAATGTCGAAGAGTTGCGTGCGCCTTTCAAATTCGAGTAGTCTCGCCGTCAAATGCAGAGCCTGTTTTATTCTGGTTACCTGCGGCCGAATACTCAGGTAAGTAACAATAACGGAATAGGTGGCCCAAAAGTTTTTATTGTGGATAAAAATATTAGTGCGCACAGTCTCTGCTTCTAGCTGAGCACCCACTCCGCTACAAAGTAATTTTACTCACAAACTATAAATATTTATGCCAAAGCAGTCTGATGGAGAGTGGTAATGGCCATAATTTTTTGAAAAAGCTACTGCCATACCCGCTGTCCGGTTTGTAGAATCTTCGACATGACCATGACTCCCACTTCGCATCTTACAAGGAGAGGATACTTAGTCAAAGTGACGATTCAAAAAGCGATGTCAACTAGTAGATGCAGTTTCAGACGCTGATTCCAAATCTGCCTTCATTATCTGCGAAGCGTTTCTCTGGAAGAAGTTATGAGCGTTTAAAGTTCTAAGCGTT